GATTAATCTAGATTGCATTGTAATTCTTAATGACATGACCCATCAATTTGAGAATTGCTTTAATTGATTGAGTTTGATTGTGAATTTCCTTGATTAGCCATTCATAGTGACCCTTAGCTTGGCCTCTAGGAGATAGCTCTTGAACTCTCTTGATTGCTACTATTGTTTGTCCTTTGTAATGCTTGAATCAAACGAAGAAATTATCGATTAGCACGATTATTGAACTAGCATGTGGAACCTATATCCCTAGTATTTAGCTTCTTGAATTACTTAATTAGTCTAATTTTGTTACCATAATACCAACCATTTTCTCACCACAATCTTCGAAATAGCTTGACTTAGGCTATATTTAATACCGACTCACTCCTTTGGGTTCGACCTTATACTTATCTTATACTTGTATTAGGCTAGTTTAGGATTTTATAAATTGTGTTTGATTTTGGGATAGAATATTTACGACTCATTTATTCCTCTATCAATAAATCTATTCTTTGTTGTTATGATTTTGTTGTTGGTTGGCTTATATAATACTTAATTGGTTCACTTTTATTTAAAAACGTATCAGTCATCCTAATAAATCATATAATCTAAGTTATATTACAAATCAGACAATCTAAAAAAGATGTAACCTAACATATATAGTATATCAGCTAATAAAACAGATCAAAACAAGCATTTTATTTAAGTAGAAAACAAGCATTAAAATGTAAATTTTTTTTTTGAAACCAAAATGTAACATAATTTTATTAGCAAGTAAATATATATTACATTTTTATTACATCTTTTCAAAATATGAAAATACATTTTAAAAAACATTATTTTTTAATCATATTATTATTTTAAAAAAAACATTAAATTTATAACCTATGAAAGATAACTACTTTGAATATGACCAGTTTCCTTCTTTTTCTTCTGCATTTCCTCCCAAATTCTTTCACTTTCCGCTACAGCAGCGGCAATATCATCTTCCCACGCCTTTTTCTTCTTCTGTTTCACGATATTTTATAATTTGTTCACTTCCATTGTTAGATCAATACAAAGCTTTTCTTCAACATTATCAACGGCTCTCTCTGTAATTGACCCTTGAGATAGCCCAATTGAATCTCCAATTGTTTATTATCATGCATTTTTTTTTCAAGTGAATCATTTGTTGATTTTCCATCTTCCATTTTTGAAGAAAAAAATATGAATTTTAGGGTTTTTGATACAGGAACAAAAAGGAAAGATGTGAAATGATGATTGATAAAGAAAAGTTTTCTTTATATAGGGAGGAGTCAAGTTATAGTATGTCGTTTAGAGTTTTTATTTATTTATTTTTTTCTCAAAAAATATGTCGTTTGGTTTTTGATAAGATATTTTAAACAAAATTAATATTTTTTTATTTTTTTCCAAATGATATATCGTTTGGTTTTTGATAAGATAACATATCAAAAAATATCAGAAAAAATAGTAAGATTTAAATATTAATAATTGATATAAATGATAATTATAATTCTTTATAATTGAGATACAAATAAAAACTAAAGTAATTCATTAAACAAAAAGAATATTTTAGCCAACACAAAAAATACATAAGTTTTCAATTAAAGCATATGAGCTAAAAAAAACCATAGGCAACACAAAATAAACAACAACCAACCCAAAATATATATCAGCCTACAATTTAAACATATCAGCTAACACATAAAATGTACTAGCATAAATCAATATGTTAGGTTACATGTTTAGATGAGCTGAGTTGTTATGTAACTTAGATTATAGGTGCCTAGATTATACGGAGTATGATTTATTAAGATGATACGTTTTTATATAAAAGTGAACTACATTGATATATGATATGGTTAGGTTACATGTTTTTAAGGTTAATATAAGCCAATTAAATAATCTCGAACATGGGCGGTAGTCTCCCGGCTGTAGCGGCCTCCCTAGCAGGCGCCAATGGGAAACTCGCGTGGTGATGGCCTCGCCGGCGCGAGTGAAGGAAAGTACTCGTAGAACTAGATCTACAAAAGACAAAAGATATCAGCAAATGCTAACAAGAGCTTAGAGCTAACTTTGTAAGAGACGAAGTATAACTCTACGACTCTCCAAAATCCGGAAAGAGCGGTGTCTCCCGTGTAAGACCGGTGTCGACAAGAGTCTCGCAGTGCGCGCAAAAAGTCAGCATAGGCCAAGATGGCCTAGTCATAAGTCCCGATCAGATGAAGATCGCGGACAACATGATATTACAACCCTACTTAAGACCCTTGGATTCTAGAGGGGTGTGGTCAAAGAATGGTGGAGGGAGATAGATTTCAACCCTATGGAGAGAGTATGCATAGTTGAGATGTCGGGATGACCCTATGATTCCACATAAAATTTTCTTTTTCCGATTCCCTTGAGGAACCATGAGGAGCTAGCTAGGGGATGAATTGAAGCTAGTGGAGAGAACGCGGACCGTCTTGGTTAGGGCTAGGGGGGAGAATGAAATCATTAGTTCTCTACGCTTAGCTTAGGTTTGTCTTTTTCAACCTTGAGCATCTTGGAACGTGTTTTCCCTCTTTGAATTGATAAAGATAAGTATTCTTTGGTGCATTTATTTGCAAATGAGTCCAAATTGAGCATTCCATTACCTTGAGGCTTGATTGGTTTTGCTAAAACCTTGTCATGTTATGTTTGTTGTGTTTGTCTTTTTGTTCCGGTTTTCCTTGCTTGAGGACAAGCAAGAGAAAAGTGTAGGGGATTTTGATGAGTGGCATTTGCTGATAATCCAACACTAATAATATAGAATTCATATTTGGATTCACATAAGCCAAAAATAGATTTATATAAGCCAATTGTAGAATCTTAACAACCGTTATAGATAACTAGAAAGCCAAATTTAGATTCACATAAGCTAACAATAGATTCATATAAGCTAAGGAAAAAATGATATTAGCCAACTTAAAAGTCATGTAAGCCATCAATAGATGCATATAATCCAACAATAAAATCATAACAGCCAATAATAAATTCATATAAGCCAACATATAGATAACAAAGTAGACAACAATAGATTCATACATCGCATGAAACATATTAGCCAACACAAAATACACAATAGCCATTACATACTTTTTTAGCTTCTTCATTTGATTGACAAATGGACACTAAATTATAGAAATTTCTTGATATTTATGTCTCCATGGTGTGTCAAGTACTGAATTTTGATCCAATACTTCTTGAACATTTCCTGAAAAATTATAAGCCAACAAAGATTATTATAAGACAACACATCATATAAGGTATCACATAAGTTAAGTATATTATATAAGTTAAGATATATCATATAAGTTAACTAATGAATTATAAAAGCCAACAAAGATTCTTATAAGACAACATATAATTCAATTGGAAATATCATATAAAAGAATTAATATGTCAGCCATAAACAAAATTGGTACCTTCTACGTCTTCCCAAATTGAAGATTTTGCTTATTTTGTCCATCTCTTTTTGATGTATACTGATGGAATAGTAAACACATTATGCATATGCATTACTCTCAATATATGATAACATATCATTCTTGTTTCATTAAAACATAAATAGGTGCATGTAAATTCTTTCAAATTCTCATAGTAAATGAATCGATGGCTACCCTTAAAATCTTCATTTATTGACACTTCAAACATCTTCAGACCTTCATGAGTTATTATTTCATGAGTTAAATCTCGAATATAAGATCATAATTGTTCCATATTCTTCTAAAAAGTCTTTGTAAAGGTTCAAAGTGTAAAAGTGTAAACTTCAGTCGCTTGTTTCAACAATTTGCAATTTATTTTTGCTTCTCTGTTTTATTTTTGAAATTATCTTCTTTTTCAGTGCTTCTCCATCTTTTGACTATTGTTTCAAAGATATGAAAGAATTCAAACAATGAATTCTTCTTGTTTGCTTTGAAAGTTATAACTTTATTTGTCACCTCTGATCTTTGTGATGATAAAATACCAGCAAAATATGTCCTTACTAAACACAGGACACCATTTCTCCCTAAGATCATATAATCTGTCAAACCAAGATTTTTCTTCCAAACCATATTTCTAAATCATTTCAGTCCATAATGCATCAAATTATTTATCATCATCACAACCATATAAACATTTGTCAAACATATTTTTGAATTTTTCATTACTTTTCAGTTGACCAAACCTTGAAACAAAGTTTTTTTGAAGATGCCACAAACATAATTTGTGTTTTGAATTTGGTAAAACTTGAAATAAATGATATTGGACAAAGGATGATTTATATAACCCAACAAATTATTTATATAAGCTAACAAATAATACTTATAAGTTACCAAATTATTGATAAAAGCTAACAAAAACTATTGATATAAGCTAACAAATTATTTTTATAAAAAAAAAAATTCTTATAATATAACATATCATTCAATTGTACATCTATATAAGCCAATAAATCATTGATATAAGCCAAAAGAAAATACGTTTAAGCTGACAAAGATAACATATCAACCAACTGTACATTTATATAATCCAAAAGAAAATACTTATAAGCTATCAAATTATTGATATAAGCTAACAAAAATTACTTATAAGCTAACAAATTAATTGATATAAACAAAAATTCTTATAATATAACATATCATCCAACTGCACATATATATATGCCACTAAATTATTGATATAAGTCAACAAGAAATACTTATAAGCTAACAAATTATTGATAAGCCAACAAATATTCTTATAAAGACAACATATTAGCCAACTATAGATTTATATAAGGCAACAAATTATTGATATAAGTAGTATAAATATAATTCAAATAAAGAAAAAAAGAAATACATAAGACAACTAATTATATTAATAGTTACCTTTTCAATTGCATTACTCATTGCTTGATCTTGATCTGTAAATATTGTATTTGGCTCTGATCCTTCCATTGACTTTTTGAATGTTTCAAGAACCCATTCAAAGGTAACAGTTGTTTCATTAGTGATAAATGCACAACCAAACATAATTGTTCTCTAATGGTTGTTTGCCCCAACTATTGGTGCATAGATTAAACCATAGTTATTTGTCCTATAAGTTGTATCAAATACAACTACATCACCAAAGGCTTTGTAATCTTCTAGCATCATTGAATCACGCCAAAAATAACTTACAATTTGATCACATTCACCAAATTTCAATAGATATAAGAATGAGGAATCAGAATATGCTCTTTCCTGTAGTGTATCCAAAACACTTTGCATATCTCCACCTTCAATCATTTCTGCTTTATATCTAGTCACATAATTTAATAGATCTCTCTTTGTGTTTACCAAAGCCTCTTCTAATCCAGCCTCATTTGATAGAAATTGATATATATCCATTGGCTTAATACCACTTTCAATAATTTTTTCAATCACTTTTCCTATTTCTTCCTTTATTTTTCTTACAGATTTCATATGATGTCTTTCTGTCGATGGAACAAAATCATGATTGTGTTCAGTGTTATGTTGAACGGCACAATATGCATGCTCCATTTTCTTTTACCTTGAATCTGATATTGGCTTTACAACCAGTTCTGGTATCATTGACACTTCTTTTTTTTTTCTCTTCTTTTCTGATTGTCCTTCTATTTTTGAAGGAATTTCACCAACAAATATAATTTTTTTAATCCTTTTTATGTCTTTTTTCATCTGTAAATCCCTCATTTGAGCAGAAAAAGTAAAAATCAGATGGTATACCATTGTTTCTTTTTCGAGTACTTTTTCTTACACTAAATCCAACTGCTCTAAAATGAGCTTAGTATAAACGACATGCATTTTTATGACTTTCAATCATTCTTCCCATCAAAGATAAATTTATGTCTTTATCACCATCATACTTGAAATAATAAAAATCTGTAATAAAGTAAATTTGTAACGCATGACAGTTAATGTATAAAGAATATAATAAACAAGAAAAACATATAAGATAATAAAGGATATACATAAGCCAATTGTAGGAAATATTTCAATCATTACCCCAAACTTCAACCCCACTGTGATCATACACTTAAGTATGGTGGCGTCCAAAGGGAAGGAAGCTAGAACAAAAGAGTCGACAACAAGTTTTAGGAACTTGTAAACCGTTCACAGGGTGAAAGTTACACCCCTTAACGATCCAGGAGATCGTTAACTCCAATAGGTCTAGAACCAAGACTGAAAGTTCGGGGATGAAGGTACACATCCAATCTAAAAGAGATTGAACCTGCCCTAATAATAGGCCTCTACTTTATTCTTCCCGTATTCATGTGCGCTTTCTGACTAACATGCAATCCATTGGTTTACCCTAAATCTGTTTATCTATGTTGGTTGAATATTAATGCACAAACTAACTATCATTGGCGATCACTTGAATTATAATCAAATTAACCCTAAATAAGATTATTAATTATCTTATTAATCGTGATTACAAGTAAAAATTTCCTTTAAACATGCAAAAAAGGCGTGATCAAGCATTAACAATAAATATAATATCAACCAACATAATATTCATCATGATGATAAATCACATCATAAAATTATAATAACAATAACAATCATAATCATCATAATAATAATAATAATATTCATAATTAAAATAATCATGTTAAAGCATAAATAATAGCAAGATCCTAGGCATGATACTAACAAGATTAATAACAAACCCTATAATGTCACTAAGCATCCAAGATAAAATGTTTAGCCCTAACATGATACTAACATGCCATTAGGAAAGAAAATAAGAAGCATCATAATAATCATACTTGATATTAGAACTTTTTAGTTGTCATCCTAAACATGATACTAGGAAATAATAAAACATCCTAACGTGATACTAGGAATCAAAATAACAATCTAAACATGATTTCTATATCATAATATCAATTAATCAATTAAAGTACTTACTTGGATGCCTCGTATCTCTTTCTAATAACAAAATACACACGTTAGTAACTTCAAGGAAAATAAAAAAACTAAAGAATTAAATTAAATAATTGAAAAGAGAATTAAGAAATTTTAGACTAGATTTGGGACCAAACCCTCATAAATCAAACCTTAGACGTCTAGGGTGAAGGCAACTTCGAATTATGCTAGGTGTATCTAAATCTTGAGAATGCGGAATTTGTTTGAGAGAAGGATAGTTTAGAAAAGAGAGAGAGAGAGCATATCAAGAATTTCTTAATGAGAGTTGGTGATTGAAAACGGAGGTTTTAGGAGGCTATTTATAATGAAAATCAGCCGGATTATGATAAAAAAGAATCAGAGTTTTGAAAAGAATAAAACACGACGTTGTCACCAAACACGCCCTTGTCGCCGCAACGCCAGGCTTGTCGCCATGCAACAGCCTGTAGTGCGGTGCTCCAGTCAGTTTTCCCACGCGTTTTCATATTTTGATAAAATTTAAGCGTACGAAGGGTAAAATTGTAATTTCCCTAATAAAACTCTTAAAACTCGATTATCAATGCTAATCACATTATGATTTAAAAGAACCTTCTAGAAGATTCTAGAAGACCATAATCAATCCTAATTGCATTAGGAATGATAAATCATAATAGGCTTCCTCAAGCTAGGGGATACCGCGTGAAGACTGCTACGCTTGTAACTGCCTCCATTTTCCGTTGTGATAGTCTTCTGCAAGCCAGAGATTACTATCGAAGATTGCTTCGCTTGAAACGACCTTCTATAACCTTGTGACCATCTTCCGCAAGCCAGGGAATTGAGTGAAGATTGCTTCGCCTGAAGCCATCCTCATTTGTTGCGATAATACTCTGAAGAAAATTACCGAAAGACCACTGCTTGTTGATCCTTAATGTTTCTTAGATTTTGCTGTTGATGTTTTGGGTGATGACAATCCTCTTTTCTTTGGGAATAGTTGCTAACACAACTCTTATATGATGTATGACAATCCTATTTGGGGAAATTTGTCAATGCCACGTAACAATCCATCCTTGGAAATGTTTCCACGATGAAGCGATAATCCGTATCTCAAAAAATTTGCCAAAATCCAATTTTGGGAATAGTTATCAATGCTTAGTAACAAACTGTCATAAGAACTTTGCTATGATCGACAATCCACATCTTGGAATATAACTCTTGAAAGAAATTCAACTAGAAAATTTTCCAATGCTATGCGACAATCCTTTTAGGAAATTATTTCCCCAATTGACAATCCGCGTCTTGGAACATTTGCAAAAAAGAGTTGACCGACAATGCACTTCTGGAAAATTTGCCACTTATTGAAATGAATGACAATCCACGTTGAGGAACCTTTGCCGAAATTTATGATGAGTAGAGACCCGCGACAATCCTTTGGGAAATTTTGCCATAGGGAATTGGGTGTATGACAATCCAATCTCGGAAAACTTGCCAAAGATGACAATTCAAGCTTGGAAAAATTTGCCAAACAGAGAAGGAGCACGACAATCCACGCTTGGAAACTTTGTCAGAGATGAAAATCCAATCTTGGAAAAATTGTCGTTAAAGAAGATGTGTGACAATCCATATTTGGAAATATTGTCAGTTGGGGATGACAATCCAATCTTGGAAAAATTGTCGTATAAGTGCTTGCTTTTGAACCGATGCTTTGGTGCTTGTAATGAGCCAATGCTTAGGCGCTTAAGCTAAGTGAGAGGATCCTCGTTAGATCAATCACTTACTGCGATTGTAATCAAGCCGACTACTAATCATGTCAATTTGCTTATAGGGGCTAACTGGCGTTCCAAGGAACCCAAAATTGTTGTATGAGGTCCGCATAATCCAATATGGGACCACGCATCTCGTCGCTTCACCGGCAATCACCAGAACATATTGTCGCCGTGTTATCGCTCTATCGCCAGGCGACAGCCTTGTCGTCTGACGTTGGAGTCAGGTTTCATTCGCGGCTTTTCAAAAAAATCCGGGAATGTTCTTGCTCACTAAAATGTACCTGCATTTATATTTCGGACTATCAGACTTTGCTTATTTTTCTTTAGGGTTGACATAAGACTTAATGTTGCTTGACTCATTGACTTGACATGACTCAAGGTATAAACTTGACTCACTGTGATTGATTGTCTCGCTTTGTGTGACTCGTGTGTGCATAGTGTTGACTCATGAAGCTCGATATGTACATGACTCGAAATGCAGAAAAACAAAAATTTCCATCATTTTTGTGGAGGGTGCCGACTTTCTCCCGAAAAAGAAAGACGTGAAAAAAAGAAAGAAATGAAGTTTTTGAAGGTGCATGTTGAATAAGCTTAGCCAAGTATATGTGTTTAATGCTGTCTCTCACAATACAAGGATTGTAACATCTTAGACTATCCTAGTTGATAATGAAAGTATTTAGGTAACTTAGGCGCGGAGGCTAAGTACTTCACACTTCGTGATGCAATGATGATTTATGTTGATATGACAAAGCATGCTTCAGCGTTGTGTTAAAGTATATTTGGTCATGTATCTGTGCAGCGTGTGAAAGTGACACTATGGTTAGGCCGCAAAGGCTAAGTGTGTGGAAAGATATTATTTTTAGAAGAGTCAAACAATGGTAACTCTTAGGCTAGGTAAGCTAATGATGTAAGGATCAAGCCCCCAAGTCTAGCTCTAAATAGATAGGGATGAGCATAGGAGATCCCATGATATGATCATGATGTGTGAATGTGAATGCATTTTTATAACGGCCACACCCCAATGTGAGGTTGCCTACGTATCCGTCAAGAATCAGGTTGAACGTAGCTCTAGCCGAACCTCGCACAAGTGTGTGTATACCTCAAAGAGGTCTTTTGAGGGTTGTAACGTAGTTAGGCTAAAGGTTATAGAAGAAAGGGATAAAGGCTCAAGACCCCCAAGGTGTACAACCTTACTTTTGAAATCTTTATATTTTTATGCTTGAGTTTTTCTCACTTATCTGAAACCCATATGGAAGGAAGCTAGAGCAAAAGAGTCGCCAACAAGTTTTAGGAACTTGTAAGCCATTCATAGGGTGAAGGTTACACCCCTTAACGATCCAGGAGATCGTTAACTCCAATAGGTCTGGAACCAAGACTGAAAGTTCGAGGATGAAGGTAAAAATCCAATCTTAAAGAGATTAAACCTGCCTTAATAATAGGCCTCTGCTTTATACTTCCCGTATTCATGTGCGCTTTCTGACTAACATGAAATCAGTAGGTTTACCCTAAACCTGTTTATCTATGTTGGTTGAATATTAATGCACAAATAACTATCATTGGCGATCACTTGAATTATAATCAAATTAACCCTAAACAAGATTATTAATTATCTTATTAAGCGTGATTACAAGTAAAAATTTCCTTTAAACATGCAAAAAAGGCGTGATCAAGCATTAACAATAAATATAATATCAAGAAACATAATAATCATCATGATAATAAATCATCACCATAAAATTGTAATAACAATAACAATCATCATAATAATAATAATAATAATAATAATAATAATAATAATAATAATAATAATAATAATTAAAATAACCATGTTAAAGCATAATAATAGCAAGATCCTAGGAATGATTCTAACAA